TCATAGGTTAAAAAGCAGCTGATGAGTTTTCTTTAGGCCCATCCTTCTTAAATTACTTTGACTACAGGCTTGTAATTTTTATATGCGAGGGAGACTTATTACACTCTGTAGTCAATAATTACAGGTAAGATGAGAAAAGTTTTCATGTGCTCTATTTAAAAGGCCCTTAGAGAAATTAATGCCTAATATTTATATAGCCTCTCACAATTCCCCATTTTCTTTCACTGAGGATTTGTAGTCACTGTATAATTCTTTGTGGTTTACAATATGCCTTCACAATGTGACATCTTTAATCTTCATGAGAACCTAGGGGAGGAATGTATTGTTGCTATTTTCAGTTGAGGAAACTGAGGATCAGAGATTAAGTAAACTTGCTCATGGATACCCTGTTAGGAAATAGTAGAACCAAGGCACTAATTGATGCCTTCTGATTCTATAGGTGAGAGTCTTTCTGTTAAAACATTTTTAGTACATCTTTGGGGGAGGAACAGCAAACAGTTTGATATTATAAGTACTCAGGATGAAATGAAGGATCCGTAGGGCAGTAATATGTCAGATCTTCACTTTTATTTTGTGAGCTGCTCTGGGGTGTTTTCACTGCTTTGGGAGAAAAAGGACCTATACTGCAATGAATGGTTCATGAAGAGGAATAGGTCCTCTGTTATTTTTACTTACAGGATTTTAATATTTTAAAATCTGCAGCCATTTCCAAGTTTCTTTATTGATGCTTTTTTCCTAGATTTTTCTTCATTTTTTGATTTCCTTAAAAATACCATTAAGTAACCATGAGTAATCATAATGACTAACCTTTCTTTAATTTGTAGCAAGAAAAAATTCTACGTGAAATTTGTTGTTTTGTTTTGTTTTGAGACAGGGTCTCACTATGTAGGTCAGACTGCCTGACCTGAGCCTTGTAAGTGCTGGGGTTACAGGTGTGCTAGGATCACCACATCTGGCTTACAAGAAATAATTTTATTAATATTCTAACAACTCACAGCAGTGAGTTCAAAGCTTGCCAGAAATACATAGCAAGACCTTGCAACCAAAAAAAAAAAGGACTTAAACAGTAATTTTAGGAATTGTGATGCTTAGCATGTAAAGTTATATTGTGAGCCCCTTAAATTTGACTTTGTAGGGATGAGAGTTGTGCATAGCATGTGTGAGGCTCTGGGTACCGTCCTCACCATCTATAAAGAAAAATGAAATTAATTTGAATTTCCAAATTTTAGTTTTAGCTGAGATATTTCCCTGTAACATTTTGTTTTACTTTCAGATGAATAAATAAATGCATGAGATTATTTATATGGGAGAATGCTATGTTGAACTACATATCATACCAGCCTTGCCTTGAAATGCTGTCTTGGGGATATGTACACATTCCATTTTTTTAATTCTTATTCCAATGTTCCACTTAACATCTCTGGATGGAAAAATCTGAGTTAAAAGCCTAAAATAAGTTGCTTTCAGCTTTTATTAAGACGATTAGACACAAAAAGTTAGAAAACTTAAAAGTATATATTTTTAGTACACTTTATTACTTTTTTAGAGTAAACTGATGCCTTAAGCATTTCTGCAAGAAGAACAAAAGAAATACCTTCCTGATTTCCCCAAGAAGGAATTAATAGTCCTTAAAGTCTCCAACTTTTTCCCCTATAGAAAATGGACATTTGTACTTTTTATTGCAGCCACTAGTTTACTTTATGCTCTGTTATAATTATTCACGTTTGACTCCCCAGACTGTAAATTCCTCTTCGGCAGGAACTAGGCATATAACAGAAGCTTGAAATATGGCAAGACTGTAGACGTGAGGGCTGGAGGTATTTCAACCTTATTCAGCCCTGCTGCCTATAGAGGTGAGAGATGGAAGAGAAAGATTTAGTTAAGTTACCAGTCAGTTGGAATTAGATATGTTTTATGGACATAACCAGAGTTGTTTTTTTTTCACCCAGTTTTTTCAAAATTTCTCTTTTGTGCAGAAAGGAAATGGCAAAATGAGAATAAAATCAGTTGTGAGGGAGAGTTTTTGGTGTTTTTGAGGGGCTTTATGCACATATTTTAAGTCGGGGATGGAGGTTTAGCTCAGCAACATAAGCGCCTGCCTTGTAAGCAGGCAGTCATGAGTTCAATCCCCGGTACCAATGAAAAGGAAAAAGACAAAAAAAAAATTAAGTTATTGTGCACTCAAACTGTCCAAACTGGGAAGGACTTTTAGAAATAAAAAACAAGCCACATGTTTTGGGTTTTCTCACTTTCAAACTTTCTTTGCCATTCTTCTGCATTATATATATAATTCATGGAGATGGGTAATAATTTCATATTAAAATGAGAATTGCCTAAAGTATTTATAAAGAAAGGTAAAATAAGACCTACATAGTATATTTCCATTCAAAAGTATTAAATATCATCTTTTTGAAATCTTACTTTTAGAATTACTATTGTGAGATTGCACCTTAAATTATGAAAAATTTCTTCTTATTCTTAATCTTTAAAATGACCAAATTTGTATCTGATTGAAGATCTTTCTTTAATGAGATTCCTCTGAAATCTACTGACAAGTTATCAGTCTTTAGTGGCATTTTAATATCATAGGTAAGACATGTTTATGAGCAGACAAGTTCTGACATAAATATATTTTTATTCATGTCAAACCAGTAATCTGATGATGTCAAAACAAGATTTGAGGGAGGCAAATCTCACACAGTGGCCTGGAAACCTACTTAAATTTTTAAAATACCAGTCATTATATATGTGTTGTATTATGATGGAAGCTTATGGTATCATAAGGTTATTTTAAAATTTCCCTAGGATTTGAGGAACCTGAGTTTGGATTCCAATTTCATGATCCTGCTGAACTGAAGTCATCTAATTAAAGAAAGGTTAAGAATATTTACCTCATGTGGCCACTGTGCAGGTTCAGGCAATTAACATGTATATGAACTTGTTCAACTTATTACTTGGTATGTTCATTGATTGAATGAGTTTTATTAAAGTATTATTTTATTGAATGTTTTGCCATGTGCCCAGAACTGTGGTAAGTTCTAGAAACAATAGCTATGCTGTGCAAAACACAGACATGGCCTGGCTGTCTTAGAATCTTTCCCTCTCTGAACTGCCCTGGCTCAGTCAGTAGTGTGCGTTTTGGAGAAAGAGAGAGAGAGAGAGAGAGAGAGAGAGAGAGAGAGAGAGAGAGAGAGAGAGAGAGAGAATGAGAGAGAATTGGGGAATAGTTTGTTGCATTTATTTATTTATGTAGATAGTTTTGCCATGCTGACCTCAGACTCATAGCAACTATCTTCCTGTCTCACAAAGTGCTGGGAACACAGGCTTGTGCCCCCACACTCTACTGCTTTTAAAGAAACATCTGAAAGGGATCCATACAAGAATTTAAAGTGTTTCTATTCTCTACTCTTTTTTGATTTTGTAAGATGCGTCTCACCATTCAATCCTCGCTGGCTTCTAACTATTGTCACAGCTCTTGGCTTCCCAATTACACGGCTGACTCCTAGCTTTTACACGGGGTGTGTGTGTGTGTGTGTGTGTGTGTGTGTGTGTGTGTGTGTGTGATGGGGATAGAATTCATGCCTCACATCTAGGCAAGTGCTCCACCACTGAATTATATCCATAGCCCCCCAAAATTACGTTTTTATAGTCTGTGAAATTTAACACTTGAAATACCATTTTGAAAAGACAACATTTAAGTCAGTGAAACTACTCTGATACTCTAATGGTAGACACATCTGTTCAGACCTATAGACTGTAACACCAAGAGTGAATCATGGTATACATTAAAAATTTTGGGTAATAATTATGTGTCATTGTAGATTCATAAATTATAACAAATGTACGGCACAGGGTAGAATTTTGGTAATGGGGAGGCTATGCATATGTGGAGTCAGGGTATGTAGGGAGCTCTCTATACTTTCTGCTTAAGTTTCTTATGACCCTTAAATTTTTCTAAAAGTCTGTTTGAAATTAAGAGAAAAAAGAACATGAAATGGCAACATATATTCATTTTCTTTTTCCATTGTCCCAAATTGTTAATCAGTTTGTATTTGGAGACTACCAATTGTGATACAGACTGCTCTATTACAGGGGTCAACAAAGCTTTTCTTTAAAGGTCCAGATCATATATATCATGTCAGGAGATGAAGTTAAGTGTACTAAATATTTCTATAAATTTTTATTGACATAGTTCAAAGTACAATAATAATGGGGTATGATTTTGTGATGCAAGTCTGATAAGAATAGTATTTTCCAATATGCTCTATGATTGAAATTGACTGCAAAATTCCTGCAAAAACCTTGCTTAGGTTGGGGAATCATACAAAAGCAAGTGATAACTCACAGTTGGCCTACAGTCTATTCTATTGGTTAAACCCCTGATGTACTGCTTAAACATATCCAGTAAGGTTAAAGTGGAAAGGGTAGAAACTCAGATAATACCAGTTAGCTGCAAAAAAAAAAAGTGCATTAACACAGTTATATGGTTTCCATATTAAAAGCAAACATATTTGTTTTATTTGATTCCTCTTTACCCCACCTTAAACAAGTGGTTAATAGATATCAGTATCTTATTTGAAAATTGCTATTTTAAGTGAATGACTGTGAAAGCGGCTTAATATGAAAATGACATTTTACACACATCACTGGTCAAGTAATTTTCATCTTTAGCTTTGGCTTGTTTGATGAAGAATTTCTATCATGTGTTTATTTCCTGTCATTGCTGGGTACCTTGACCCTCCTGACACACTGCACATAGTTTAGGATTTTTGTCCTTAAAAGGGAAATTTGGAAATATTTTTCTGATAACTTTTAGTAAATGAGGGATTCGCATGTCTTTCTTTATTATGGATATAGCTACAGATATCCTAACTTGTTTAAATTATCTCAGTAGTTTACAATTTTGTTCAAAATATTTCTAACTGAGAAGTTAGCAAGAGTGCTTATAATATACTCATCACAAACTCTTTTTAAGTCTGAAAACTTTGACTTGTCTTTAGATCTTTAAATGGATGAGATGGCTGCCACTCAGATTTCCAAAGATGAGCTTGATGAACTCAAAGAGGCCTTTGCAAAAGTTGGTGAGTGTGTTTTACAATATTACTATTAAGAAGGCAATCTTTTGTTTTGTCTCAATAACAGTCATTTCTCTAAAACAAAACTGCATGGAATATTAATCAGAAGCCTTGGGGCAAGATAGTTAAAGTAGCTGGGATCAAGTTCTGCAAGCTACATTTAAAACTATATTATTTCTAGTTATATCAAGCATTTAATATGTTCAAGAATTTGTAGTCCAGGGTTCCAGTTGTTAATTAGGCCTCACCATGGCTCCTAAGATTCTTGTGGCACATGTTACTGTATTTTAGGTATCATGCTTTTCTGAGGAGAGAATTTGAATCTTTTGCCTGTTCCTAAAGGAATGTGAGACCTCTGAAACTATCTAACGGTATTTATCCTTCCTTATACTGTTTCTCTCTTAGTTCTTCCATGCCTTTGCATTATGCAGATTGTTCTACCTTTTCATGTTAAATTAAAGCATCAACATAAGATGAAGGCACAACATGCCATTTGGATTGTTTTTTAATATCATGTCTTACAATTGAGCAGCTATGGAAACAGTCTGTAGAAGACAGAAAACTGGGTTTCTCTAAAGAGCTACTCCGTATGAGTCACTATGTGCTTAGAGAGGTCAACTATGGCTGCTCAGTGTCACATATACTAAAGGAGAGATCATAAAGTTGGATCATAAAGATTAGCTATTTAAATCAGAATTTATTCTTAAAACTGCACTAAAAATCTCATTAGTGAAAACAGAAGGAGGATACATCTCTACTGCCATATATTTATGGTCAACATTTTCTATAAAGGCATTTAATAATAACAATATGTCTTAGGAAAAATAACTCCAGCCAGAGTATATTCACGACTCCATCAGAAGTCTAACTAAAAAAAAAATGGAGTAATCCTGAATCTAACACAATTTTGCATGCATTTTTAACAAGTAGTATTTTAGTAGATATGACTTACTGTAGAAGAGTACTACATAGTCTGATATAAGAATAATTATGAAAAGCAGCAAGTGATTTCTTGGCTACAGGAGGTATTTTCTTTGTTCTTTTTTTCTTTCTCTGTTATTCTTGCCAATCTTATAACTGTTTTGGAAATGTATTTCCTCTGATCCTCTTGCTTTATATATACTCATCTTTCAATGTTGGGGACAGCTTAATTTGTTTCATTATGAATAAAATGTTAGGGTATGGTCCTTACCTTGTTAATGTTGTGATTGTTTACTCTTCAAAGCTTGACTTATAAGACAAATGTTTGTTGTTAGTTGAATAGGCCTGGTCCTCAAGGGCAGCATCCTGGAAATACTTATATGCAATACTTCTTAAATTTAATTCCAGTATTACTCTATCTGATAAAACTTGGGATACTCTTATCAGTAAAAGAACATAATTGTTCCTTGAAAACATAAAAATATAAAGAGAATTGACCAAAGACAGGAGATCAAACCATGAATGAGTCTTACTGAATTCTCTACCAGACGTATATTCCTATGTTCAGATCCTTATTAATGTATATGCTGTAAATAAGAATGCTGGAGTCCAAAATTTTGGCATTTTCTGAACATTCCTCTTTTATATTCTCTTCTCAGTATTTAGTACAATGCTACACACGTTAGGTTCTCAGTAAATATGATATTGATTGAATCACAAGGAACTTTACATTATCTTGATTTATTGGGATTTTGTCACATCACCTATACATTCAAAAGAGCCTTAAAGTTTTGTTCATTACACTGTAGCACATTATACATATATATGTATGTATATGCTTAAATATGTATATGCATATCTGTGTATAGGCTTGTATATAGTCAGTCTTTTAAAAATTCATTTAAAGTCCAGCTGAATTTTTTATTTTCTTTTAGAATCTTTGTAGTTTTAGTTCTTGTTCATTGCAGAGCCTTTGGGCAACTGTCAAAGGTGTTATGGAACTTTGTTTTTTCATCCAGGGAAACTTTATTTTTAAAACACACTCTAACATACTCTCCTGTGGAGAGAGGGATGGAGAGGACAATTTTGCCTCAGCTCAATTGTGAAAAAATATGGAAATCATTATATGATTTTCCCCATCTATTAACAATAATAGCCTTGATTATCTCCTTAGAAATTTGGCAAAGTCATAACGTGTGGAGAAAATCTCTGTAATTACCACTAATCACAGGTTTTGGTCAATCAATTAATAGTGCTTTAAAACTCTTTACTAGAAATATATTGAGTATGAAGATTTAAAGGTCCCTTCTCACTCATTTTCTGTACCTGCTTAGTTTTAAGTTCCAGTCTCATGTAATTATTTCGATTTTCTCAACAATTGTTTCAAGTATTTCCTGTTTGAATAGCACAAACTTTAACTCATCTTCCTCTTTTAAATTTTTGTTTTAATTGAAATACTAGTACTCTGTACAACTTCTTTCTTAAAGGGTAAGCTAAAAATTTTCAGAACAGTTAGGAACTGATTATTTTACCCAATAGAAAATGTCTTTTGCACTCTAAGAGTGTCATTTTGCTATAGAAGCTAGTGATCAGTTGGGTTATTACTTGCCACAGGGACAAGTTCATATACAATAAAACTCAGTTTTGCTTTATTCCTGCCAGTGGACTTTTTTGTCTCCTAAGAAAATTTGCACTGAAATTTTAACATGAAATTCATCCCTTCTGACATATAAGAATAATGGGGTTCTTAAATGGCTAAACATAGCGTGGGTGTAGTCCTATGAGAATTATCAAACTAAGCCAAAAAATTTTTTGTAGTGGTGATTTTTAGCTGTACCAGATTTCTCTCATCCCAGGATATTGAGGATTTTTTTTTCCAATTTCCAATATGTAGTATATAAAAGCCACATCAAAGTGATACCACCAAAAAAATGGTGGTTTAGTTGAATTTACTTTTAGTATCAAATAGAACTATGCCAATGCACATTTGTTGGTGCCTTAAAAATAAAAGCTATAGCCCAACTAAATAAATAAACGAACAGTAGTCTTTCAATGTGCCATCAGGTTAATTATCTCTGGAATATTAGAAGCATGTGTATTGGAACTAAGTATGGTGGTGTGGCCTATAAATCCAATATTTGGGAGGCTAAGGCAGGAACATTGCAAGTGCAAGGCTTGTCTGGACAACATAAGTGAGACCTTGCCTCAAAATAAAAAGGTAGAGATGTAGCTCAGTCATTGAGTGCTTGGCCGGCATATGCAAGACTCAGTGTTTGATCCCTCGTATGGCAAAAAAAAAAAAAAAAAAAGATATTTCATTATGGCCTGAAAACCATGCACCAACAGTATGGAAGACAGTACACATGTGTGGGAGACAACAAGAGCACACATGCGATTGGGAGCGCACTCCGGGAGGTATGTGTGGAGATATTTTTTTAACATGTTACTGCCATAGTAACTGACTGTGCCACAAAGCTCACAGTCAGTGAATAAGGTCAGCAGTTACTTTTTGAGAACTGTAGCACACTAAGGCAGTAGCCAGCAGTCAAGCATGACTCTAGCCTTCATCTTGTACATTTTTTTGAAGTAACACCTAGTGAAAAATGATGTCTGAACTACTAGAAATAGTTGCAAAAAGTATCGATAGGCAACATTTTTGATTACCTGGTCTTAGTCCTCTAAACGATACAGTCTTCAGCTGTACTTGACCTCTATCTTTAGGAATCCACAATTGAACTCTTATTGTAGCAAGCCCTAGTCTACTTTTGGCTGGGACTCATTAAACTGTCTCTTCTATTTGCTGCACTGAGCTACCTCAAAAGGTAAAAGCTGTGAAAGGCCAACTCTGCATTTAGCTAAGCATCTGGAGATGTTTAGCAGCTGCTTTTTAATGCCTAATGAAAGCTTGACTTCACTGTTTGGAGCTCAGGGTGGAATATAAATTCTTCTGCTAAAGTCTTTTGCCTGAGTCTTTTAAATCATCAATATTTTATAAACTTTCATCAGCATTCAGGATTATGTGTGTACAAATCCATTGTTAGACATTTAGATTCCTGTTGTCATTTTGGGGGGCTAAAAATTAGTGAATTATATTGCACTAACTAAATGTTTAAATTCAGCTTTTCCAAAAGGATATAATCTGCACTGGATTGGTTTTCTTTTTTTATTCTTAAATGAGCACTGTCCAGAGTTAAGTTAATAAAGGGGCTGCATATGTGTCACAGATGAGAGCACACAATATGTGACTTCTTTATAACTAACAGCTCCAGATTTAGATAGATACAAGGATGGTTAAAGCAGTACATACATGCTCACACACACACACACACACACACACACACACACACACACACACAACCTGAGGGTTAAAGGAAGTTCTAGTCTTTCCTACTGTCAGATTTATAAGACAAAGTTGCACCCCAAAAGATGTATTTGAAGTGATAGATTGCAGCACATACCACCTGGACAAGGGCAATAAAACAGCAGCTAAAATCAAAACCACTTGGATTCTGGCTCAGCTTTCTCCAGACAAGTCCTTAAAATAGCTTAAATAACAGGATGCAAGGGGAGGGAAAACATTTCCTTTTAAGGATATGCATTCTTGGTGTGATTCAAACTTCTGCAGGAACATGGCTGTATAATAAGTTTATTTATTCTGAGGTTACTTGAGGGAGGGTGTTGGGGAGAGGTAACTGGCATTTAAAATAATACTTCATAAGAGAAAATGAGATTTCCTTTAAAACAAAATGCAGATGTGAGTTTAACATGTGTCATCTGAGAAAGACAGAGACAGAAAATTTCTTGTAGCAAACAGTTGGTTCTTTTCTGATGAATTCAGTAACCACTACAGAAGATGGGCCTGTCTGTGCTGTATTGGGAGCACTTAGTGAATTTTTTAAAGTGTAATGAAAGTTGTTTTGTTTTGTTTGTTTGTCTTTTTCTTAAAGGATGTTGGGTCTTTTTATTAAAAGTCAGCACTTTATTTTCTGCCAGCATTTTGTGCAGTGGTTAGGTGGTGTTTCTTTTTCTTGGTGCTTGTTAACGTCTGCCCATACTGACCATATTTTCTGAACCAAAAAACTTGAGATTTGTGCTGACAGAAGCCTTGACTGCCCTGGATAATATAGGTTGAGTGATCATTCATGTCTGCTTTATCAGCTGGTTGAAAATATAATGCTAAAACAAATGTATTTTCCAAATGCAGAGCTTTTCCACCCTGTGCCAATGTATAGTTAGAAGTGGGAAATGAGCCAGAAATGGCTTCCAGAATTCTGACAGTTTTGATGAGAAAATAAAGGGTCACTATCTTGCTTGATGGTTGTGACTTAGTTCCCAGTTTTTCAAATTGCTTTCAATGTAGGTCAGTATTTTCTGGATTCATTCATTATTAAATTCCCATGTTTATGTCAAAATTTCCAAAAGGAAAAGTTTACCTTCTAATGCAAATTTGAGCTTCTGATTAATATTACTGATGAGAGAGACACTTCTGAAATGCCATTATGCCACCTCATTTTCTGTCCTCTCAAAGCACATCAGATCCCTGATAGTGCTTAAGGATGCATTTGGTTTTACTTTGCTTTAACTGGGGATTGGAAATAAAATTAACATAAAAAGTACTTTAAAAGTAATTGCATGCTATTTTGTCTTTCAAGTACTTTGACCAGCTGGGAGAGAACATTTTATAAAATTAATTGTTAGCTGCCATTTTAGGCTCTCTCTGCCGCCTTATTGAAATTTAAATTATTTTCTTCAAAATATGTGATTTAGGAGCTCTAAGAATGGCTTGATATAATTTACTAGCACTAACACTAAAGTATCTTTGATTGCAGGAGATAGTATAAGGTGGATTAACATCTGCTGATGAAATACAAGAAAGTATAAGTCTAGATAGAACTTTTAAAAGATGTCACATGCTCTTCTTATCTTTGGGAATATAAAAGATAGGTCTTCCAAGTGACTCAAATATTTTATAAGAATTTGAAAGATACTATTTAAAGTGAGACTCAGGGGATTTGTCTAATTTCTACATCTTTGGGGTCTGAAGTGCCTGTGACCAAATAGATACTCGGCTTGCCAGGGCGGTTGATTTAAGCTAAGCCAATTCATGGGTATTTAGTATATCTTTATTTTATTTTACTTTAATTTTGATGAGACAGGATTTTCTTGCTATGTTGCCAGGCTGGCCTTGAACTCCTGGACTCAAACAAACCTACCTTAGCCTCCTGAGTAGCTGGGCTAGAGATGCGCCCACTCTGGCGGTACATGGTATTGTTAACAACATCAAAGCAGGTTTCTACATTTGGAAAGAAACCCAACCTGAGAGCCATCCTTGCTAGCCTACTTGGGCCCTCCTTGGTGGGTGTGTTCACTTAGAAAACCAAATTACAGATCTGAAAGCTGCCCAGTGGGGACAGGATTAGAACAAAGGGAATGAGATTGAATGTTATTTAAGGGATATTTCTGTCAAGTTTTGGTTTCCTGATGAATTGCCAGTCAGTCTTTTTAGGGCTATTTCTGTATATTTTGTCAGTTGTTTAGTTTTGGTTTTAAAACTGTCATCCAGGATTAGAGGCTTTTTTCCCCTGCAGTCAATGCCTGGCAACCAGTGATTCTAAAAACATATTTTTTTGCATTGCTTCCTATTTGCAAGGCTAAATCTAAATCAGGAGATGTGCAACCTAATAACAAAGACTCTCGTGTAATAACGAATTCTTATTACTCCAACACCCTTTCATGTTTTTCTGTCCTTTACTTAAAAACATTTGTTATTACTGCTCTAACTTAAAAAAGGAGCTTCCACATGTGGTTAATTTATGTTAGTTATATTTTTGGGTGGCTACTTCCTGACATCTTTTAATCACATCAGTAAGCTGTCTTCTAATTAATGCTCAAGAGAGGTTATTGTAGAGAGAGTTCATGCAAATAGTAGTGCTCCCTGATCCTAGCCCTTGATTTCCACCTAATACAAATAAACTGCCAGATAGAGGCTTGGTGCTTTGGTCACTTTCATGTAGATTTAATCCCTTTTGGTTTTCCACTATTTAACTTAAAATATCTCTACCTACTCCGTTGTTATGCCAGGTCTAAACTGGAGTCAATAACAAAACATTTAACTATTGTCAGCTATGCCATTTCAGAAGTCAGAAAGGGAGACTAGATTTTAAAATATTTTTCCGTCAAAAATCACTGAAGTTTTGACAGTTAAAAGGAGTAAACTATTTCCTTCTTTAAAGATAGTTAAAATGAAACAGTATAATATTTCTCTAATGAGGTATAGTAGTGATCCGAATATTATCACTAGGTCTGTTTTTGATATGCATTATTAGTCTGTCTCTGGTTTTCAAAAATATGTGTGTGGGAGGACAAGGCTATAAAAGCCTGCATGTTCTGGTTTAGAATCAGTGAGTCAAAAGGGACATCAGAAACTGTATGTTTGGTCCAAAGCACTCCTTTTACAGCTAGGAACACTAAGATCTAGAGAGGTGACTTGCACAAAGTAGTACTAAGTTGAAATTGCATCCTGTGTCACACTGCTCCCATTGCGTGTCCCTTCAACTATGCTATGTACCTTTCATTTATGTCACACTCAGTTCCTAGTACTGAGGTCCATATTAACTTCACAAAGTAAATGGGAGAAACAGATTGGCATTACACAGGTGTGGGTATATGCGAACCCAAGATTCCTCATATATCGAGAGTTGCTCTCCTGCGGTCAAGTCAAATTCAGCCCTCATTTCATCATGCTGTGGTCTGGCCCAGATGGCTGCTACTGTTCTACTGTTCATGGACTCTGAGTCCTCTGCCTGGGACCTGGGGATAAATTTGGTCATAGACATTTAAGAAAGAAAAAAATCAAAGGATTGCTCAAATTCTGCCACAATGCTATGTGGATTACTTTGTTCAAACAAGATATTGCTTGTTTGATTTCTACATCTAAACAGTTTATACATAGAAAAGCATGATATATGACCTTTTATAAATTCAAAGCAAAGAAAGTGAATATATGCCCCCCAGGAAATTGAATACTTTACCTTGAAGGAACTATAATTTTCAGAAGTATAGAGTAGCCTACAATTGATATTTCCAAAGTACCTATTTTTAATTGATAATTTTTCTTTGCTGTTATTATCTTTTTGTTTTATTTTGTGGAACTGGGAATTGGATTCAGGGCCTGTAACATGCCAGGCAAGTCACTGAGCTACACGCCCAGCTCTACCTGCACCCTTTTCTAAATTTTATTTTTGAGACAAACTCCTGCTAAATTGCCCAGGTTGACCACCAACTTGTGATTTCCTTTCTCAGCCTCCCAAGTACCTAGCTGGGATTACAGGTGTGTGCCATTACCCAACTAACTGATAGATTTTTAAAATGTGGTAAGTAATTTTTAAGGCTGTCTGACGAGCTGGGTGGGAGTGATGGTGCCTGGTGGTAAACCCAGCACATGACATGCTGACAGATGATCATCAGCCTGCTGGACTCTGAGTTACTCCATAAGGAGACAGTTGAAAGAAAGGAAGGAAGGAAGGGAGGGAGAGAGGGAAGGAAGGAGGGAGGAAGGAAGGAAGGAAAAGATCACTGGGGGGCATGAGGCTCTTCACATGCCTGTGTTTAGTTCCAAGCAGTAGAGAAAAAAAGACTCTTTGACTCTAGAAGTACACTCCATTGTGACTAAACACAAAATTTGATCAGCTTTTGGGCTGGAGATACAGAGGTACAGTATTTGCCTTTTATGTTCAAGGCCGTGAGTTTAATCCTCAGCACCACAAAAACAAAACAGGACAAAAATACACACACACACACACACACACACACACACACACATATTTCATCAGCCTTCAAAGTATTGCTGAGGTTTCGTGTAGGAGATTTACTATTTCGTAATTGACAAAATTAGCTAATTTGATTATATTTAGATAACACTTAAAATCCAAAATATGTACTATAGTCTAGAAATCTACACAAGCTGCCTTGCACTTTCCCCTTTGCTCGCTCTACACAGGGCAAGCTGGATCTCTAATATTCCCCCAAGAAGCACTTCTTCATCCCAGACTTTGTATTTGCCATTTCCTCTACCTTAAATTTCTTCCCCTACATAGCCACATGATTCTCTCCTTTACCTCATATCTGTACTCAAATGTAACCCATCGAAGTGGCCTTTCTTGACCATTCTGTCTAAATCGCATTCCTCTACATCATCTCTATGACCCAGGATTGCTTAATGTAATCACTCTTGACCTTTTGGGTTGCATAGCTCTGAATTGCATAATAAGGGGAAGCATATGCATTGTAGGATGTTTAGCAGCATCCCGTGGCTGTACCATTGGATGCCAGGAGCATCTTCTCCCTGCCCAGTCATAGCAATCAGAAATATCTCTACTCATTTCTGAATGACTCTGGGATTCAGAGGGGCAATGCAGCCTCTGCTCTAACTCTTCAACTTGCTTTATTTTTTTGACAGCATTTATATTGTTATTTTATATTTTATATTTATGTCTCATGTAATATTTTATTTTATGCTTTGTGATTAGTGTGTAAGCTCAAGTACAAGACTGTCTTTTGTCTGTTGTATCCTTAGTCCCAACAGTAGAACCTGGTAGACCTTTGAAGTGATATGTCAAATACATTACTGAGTTAAAAGACCTTCCCTTGAAGGATGCTGTAGTCATCTTGAGTCATTATCTGTTCAAAATTCAAATTATATCTTTCAGTTATAACTTTTCTTTCAGTACTAGGGTGAAACCTAGGGCCACATTCTTAGCTCCCCCGCTTTTTTTTAAAAGACAGGCTCTGGCTAGCTTGCCCAAGCTGGCCTAAAACTTGCGATCCTCTAGCTTCATACTTCTAAGTAGCTGGAACTACAACATGTGGCAGTACCTGAGTTCACCTATTATAATTTAATTTCTGCATTTGATATTTGCTGGTGAAAGTAAAAATCTATTCACTGAATATTTATACTAGCCAGGTGTGGTGGCACATACCTGTAATTCCAGCACTTACAAGACTGAGACAGGAGGATCCCTGTAAGTATAGCCTGAGCTATACTGTGAGTTCAACATCAGCCTGAACTCTATAGCAAGACTCTGTTTCAAAAAGAACAACAACAAAAAGCCAAACAAACAAAAACCAAATATACTTAAGTGCTTATAACCCTTAGGACATTAGCCCTCCTTTTCAATAGATCAGCCTTTGGTCATTGATCGGGATTGTTTTGTTTTGTTTTTGTTATTTGTAGTGCTAAGGTTGGAACACAGGGCCTCATACACATGAAGCAAGCATACTATCACGGAGCTGCGCCCTAGCTTAGTTTTTTTCTCCCCTGCCATTTCTAACAGTTTCAGAATAAGCACTGCTCATTTAATCGGTACTTCTATACATATTCTCCTAAAACGGCAATAGCACAAAAATAAAAACGTTATTTATAGAGATGTATTGAACATCTGCTTTACTGAGTACTGCATTCATCTTTATGAACGTTATATTTGTCTTGGAATAGTGTTTATTTACATTAACTCTTGAAAAAACAAATGGTCCTGGAAGTGGTTGCTTCATTTCAGGTGTACTTTGGAATAGAATCAGTGCTAATTCATAAAACTTATTGTATGTAGATTAATGCAACAAAAACATAAAACTCCTAAATATGCACAGTAAAAATTGTGTTGTACCAGGCCGGTGTTTCGTTGGTGTACAATGTATCGCTTTTGTAATGTCCTCTTAGGTCTGCAGCTTAATAATAGTTATATTAACTAACAATATTTTCTTAAAATTAGGGATGCTATTTTTATGTAAAGCTTCTTGTGTACTGTTTTAAGTGCGGGGTATGTGATGTAAAACCTTGTTCTTTCCCTTAAAATGTGCATTTCCCTTTCAAACATCTTTGGGCACCAAAAATAGAAGATTGTAATAAGGTGAGCTTGTGAACTGAGCCAGAAATGAAGGAGAAAGATACTTTCACTTTATCAACACATTTCTTCTATTTTTCCCCTTTTTTATTGCTTTCCCTTGTTACAAAGATCTCAACAGCAATGGATTCATTTGTGACTATGAACTTCATGAACTTTTCAAGGAAGCTAATATGCCATTGCCTGGATATAAAGTGAGAGAAATTATTCAGAAACTCATGCTGGATGGTGACAGAAACAAAGATGGGAAGATAAGTTTTGATGAATTTGTTTATGTAAGTATGTGAGAATCCACAGTTATTAGAGTAATTAAGTATTCCTTTGTCTAGTGGGACCTTATAAATAACATTACATAAAGTTGCTAAATATGCCACGTTATCAATCATATAACTAACAATATCTATGTTGCCCTGCCCACTCAATTTGACTAGTTCTTTCAGCCACTAAATATCGTGTAAGAGTTGAGGAAAAGAACAAAGATACAATACAGTGCTCATTGTATAAGGTGAACAGACTCCAGGGGCGTCATTACAGGGCATCCTTCAAGGTGCTAAATGACATCCTTGAAGCGTTCCTTCTCTTTCCTGCAGTGAATTCTATGCTCCACAATTTTAAGGATACACGCTGACTCACAGTCTTAGAAGTTTCCTAAGTTGAACCTTCTGATTAAAAAATGCTTTCTCCTCCTGTGGTAGTGGTATTTAAGTCTACCATTTTCTCTAGGGCGATCATTTTGATAATTAAATGTTAGAAGCATATCTTTTTAGTCCATTGGAAGAGGCATTTAAATTTTTCGGTTTTTTCTCTAGTGTCATCAAATGTGCCTCAAGATTCCAAGTTGGTTTTACAACCGCCCTGACTCCTCCTTCTAGTACTTACTTTAGTGTTTTGCGCTTGGTACTTGGAAAGGCTATGTATGGCAGGCACTTGGTTCCCTATCAAAGCCTACCGCTTTCAGCTGCTAACAGTTTAACTCTATATTTTCTAGACTTCTGTCATTTTCAGTTTATATTTATTGACAAGCTATTTGGAATATAAAGAATAGCTATGCTTCTTCCCTCAGCTAAGAACATCATTAAGATTTTATTCATTTACTTATTATTAACTTAAGGCTGAGTTTGACTACCTCTTATTGGACACTCCTTTTAATTTATTCCAAGCTAAAAAGTAGTGTGTAATATTTTTCATAAATTTGCCAGTACCTCTATCCTCCCTTTCCATGGCTTATTTTTGCCTCAAGACAGCTGCAATTATAACTCATTTTCCTACTTGTTAACTGTGGCTCAGTATGGCACGTGAAATTTTAGTTTGTTCTCTCTGATTAAGAGTTAATGCCTTCAAAACAACTCTAGAAGATCAAGAAGAGAATTGACTAATGATGTCTAGTCAGCTGTCAGCATTTTGTGCTAGTGTTATTGTCTTAAAATGCAGACTTGTGTTATAATTGTAATGATATAGTTCTTGCCATTTTTCTTTTGAAATACTGATTTCCTCCCACTATTTTTATCTCCAGTTATGGCCAAAGGCTTTTGTTTTGAATTCTGTATTCAATAGTAAGTTGCAGTTGATTTGCAATTTGAGCACTTGCATGTCCTCCGATGTATA